AGTTTTTGCCCCAGCTTGGCTAATTGGACGTTTTTTGTGTTGACTGGGTGGCAGGAGCTGTTAGGATGTGGGCTGGCAAGGTGGTCATGCCTCTGGCTGTGCCCTTGTGGGCTGGGTGGATGTGGCCTTGGAGGCATAGCTGCCCATGGGGTCTCCATGCCCGGGGCCTTTCCGTTCTTTGGCCATGCCAGCCCTGGCCTCAGGCTCTGGGAGGGGAGGGCTGGAGCTGGTATGATTCTCCGCTCACAGTCCAGCGGTGAGCCCTGGTCGCAGGGCTGCTTTTGCAGGTGAGGGGGCCAGGAAGTGTAGTCTGGCTGCACAGTGCTCCTGGGACAGTGCTGCTTGTGGAAGGGCAAGTGGGGGCTTGTGGACGCCCCAGCCTGCCTGCCACACTGGGGCTGGAGGACTTGGGGGTGTCTGGCTTCATTGTTTTCTGTGGTCCCTCCATTTCCCTCCTCTTGCTGAAACTAAGCCTGGAAAAGAAGTGCAAGAGCCCACAGAGCATGATCTTGTTTTCTGCCACCCCGTTTGTTTCCTGGTCCTGCGGATTGAACCCAGGGTGCTCCATCACTGAGCTACACTCCCAGTGCTTTTATTTTTTTTTATTTATTTTTTTTAGAGAGAGTGAGAGAATTTTAATATTTATTTTTTAGTATTTGGCGAACACAACATCTTTGTCTGTATGTGGTGCTGAGGATCGAACCCGGGCCGCCCGCATGCTAGGCGAGCGCGCTACCGCTTGAGCCACATCCCCAGCCCTTTTTTTTATTTTTAGACAGTTGCAGAGGCTGGCCTTGAACTTAGGTTCCCCTGCCTCAGTCTCCTGAACAGTTGGGATGACAGGTGTGTGTGCTGGCCTGACCTGGGTTCTTGTACCTCATGCAGGAGCATAAATGTGAAAACGCATAGGAGAATGTGTACTGTCTGGAGTTTTAAAAGAAATCTGTCAACTTGTCTTATAATTAGAAAGCAGAAAGATTATTTGAATTCTTGAGTGTTAGCTTGCTTCTGAGACATTTTTTCCTTTGAGATAATTCACAAAAACAGAAAATTAATATAATACAGATTTCCCAAACTGAACTCGGTGCGTAGTTAACATGAGTTGCAAAAGGAATGCTGACCTGCACCAGCATAGGATGACACAGCATGCTGGTGCAGGTCGGCATCCCTTTTGCAGCTCAGTCTTCAAGTGTTTGCTCAGTATTCAGATTAGTTTCTCTTGCCTCCCACAGAAGACAGAGTGGGCCACTGTGTGGTCAGCAGTGCCAGGTGGCCTGGCTCCCAAAGTGGGGATGGGACAGTATTGGTCAGCAGCTGTGCAGCTTGCTAAGTTGCTGAGGGAGGCCCTGAACTGAGGGCACACGTGGTTTGGGTTTGTGGGGGCCGCCTGGAGTGGAGCCCTGAGTCCTTGTCTGCACGTGACCATGGCATGTGTGGTGTTCCAAGCTTTCCACTACAAACAACTGATGGGTAGTGGCCTTTTGTATTAAAATGTGGCAAACACAAATTCATGAGAAGTACTTTAAATACTATATTTTTCAGGGAGAGGATATTTTTTAAAAATTTTGTTTAGTTGTTGATGGGCTTTTATTTTTATTTATTTACATGCGGTGCTAAGGATTGAACCCAGTGCCTCACACATACTAGGCAAGTGCTCTGCCACTGAGCCACAGCCCTAGCCCAGAAGAGGGTACTTTTGTGTCTTGATTTTGGTAGGCTTTTTTTTTTTTTTTTCTTGCATGTACTTGAACAAAGCCTGAGATGGCCCTTGTTTGGGTGGATGATGAGCCAAGGGAGAGAAGAGTTAATTTTCTATAATAGTAGACGTGGGCCTGCTCTGGCTGGGCTCAAGGACCAGCTGCATGAGCCGTGGAGCCAGGGGAGCTCGCCTCTGGAAAGCGCTCCTTGAGTCCGTGCGGCGATGCCCCAGTGTTCTCAAGGTCCGTGGATGTCTTTGAACCAAGCAGACGAAGGTCTCCTGCACATGGCAGACCCACGCCTTGTAAGTAAACTGCTCAGCAGAAAAGGTGCAAGTCCAGAGGAAGCCCGGAGAGCACAGTGAACCTCCAAATGGTGCCACGTGTACACGTGCATAGTTTTGCTGTTTAGCTTTTTTTAAAATTTTGTTTTTAATTAATAATTAAGTAATTTTGTGGTACTAGGGATTGAACCCAGGGGTACTCTACCACTGAGCTACACCCCAGCCCTTTTTATTTTTATTTTTGAGGCAGGGACTTGCTAAGTTGCTGATGCTGGCCTTGAACTTGCAATCTTCCTGCCTCCGCCTCCCAGATTGCTGGGATCACAAGTGTGCACCACTGTGTATGGCTGTTGTTCAGATTTTAAAACAGTCACCCATCAGAATTACCCGGGGGACTTGTAAAAGTGAGAAAAGGCCCCAATCTCTCTTTGGGGGATTCCAACTTCCCTAGAAAGTTCTGGTGTGTAGGAAGCAGTGCTCGGTAGCTTGCTCTGTGGATTTTGTTTCAGGAAGTCTACTCTGTGTGTCACAGAAGCATTTGGGCTCTGGTCCAACCTTGCTGTGCTTCCGTGTGGTTACACAGATGTGTGCCTGGGGTCAAGCTGCCCAGAGCCACAGGCACACCCCGACACACACAGGTGCAGAAAATGGTGAAGTCCAGGCAGGGGCTCTGGTCTCACCCCAGGGTTGTTTCCTATGGTTGTTACCGTGGCACAGATGACACACGTGTCACCACTGGGGGATGCTGGGGAATGGTTCACAGGACTCAATGTGCTGTTTTTCTGCAACTTTCTGTGAATCTGTAATTATTTAAAACATGTGTCAGGGCTCAACCAGAGAGGCAAAACCAGTTGGGGGCATGCATGTGTACGTGTGTGTGTGTGTGTGTGTGTGTGTGTGTGTGAGAGAGAGAGAGAGAGAAAGAGAACTCTGAAGCCACAAGGGATTTATTTCAAGCATCTGCCCACACAGTTGTGGGCTGCTGAGCAGGTGTGGAGTCTGTGGATGGGTGGGGAAGGCATAGCAGTCTGGGCCTGCAGGCAGGAGCTGTTTGGAGGCAGGCTGGGGGGCACACAGACCTCCGAAGGGACCACCCGGGATAATCTCTCCTTTGGTGGACTGGGGTGGACCAGTGAGGACTTTAATCCTGTTTGCAAAATCCCTTTCCATCCCAGGCATCCCAGAAGTAGTGAGTGAAAAAGAGGAAACACGGCTTGTGGCCAGCCTGTGGCTTGGAGAGAAAGCATGGGCATGTTCAGAATGTCAGACCCTCCAGGAAAGTTCATCATTTCCACCCCGGTTTCTGGGAAAGGCTTCCAGCGCACATATGTGCACATCTACCTTTATTTGTGCATTTTTGGCACTTAATATTATTGTGATACTTTTCTCATATCATCCCTTAGATAACTACTACTTTTTTGTGTGACTCTAGGCATGGAATCGAGGGCCCTGTGTGTGCCAGGCAACTGCTCTTCCATGTGATATGGAAGTTCCATAGCTTAGCTTTTGAAAAATGGAATATTCTTTGTACTAAATATTCTTTGATACAATTCAAAGTTGATAGGCTTGCATAAATATCAAACCCATAGAAGTCATTTTAGTCCCTTGATTGGCACGTATGAGATTGTTGGAGGCTGAACCTGGCTGCAGTGATCAGATAGTCAGAGTCTCCTGGAGGGTGAGGCAGCTCAGCGGCAGAGCACTTGCCTAGCACACACCTGGCCCTGAGTTCCATTCCCAGCACTGCAAAAAAGGAAGGAAAAATTACCTGGTTCCTTTAAAAAAAAAAATATATATATATATATATATGTGTGTGTGTATGTATGTATGTATATATATATTTAGTTGTTGATGGACCCTTATTTGTTTATCTTTCTATCTATCTATGTATCTATGGTGCTGAGGACTGAACCCAGTGCTTCATATGTGCTAGGCAAGGGCTGTGCCACTGAGCCACAACCCCAGCCCTACCCGGTTCCTTTTGATACCTGACCGGTGGATAATTCATCATGGTTTGGTGGGTTACTTTAGGTGTTACCAAAGAACAAGTAGAATGATCGAAAGATAATAATACCTTTTAATGATGTTCCGTCTTGGAAAACCAGCTGTGGTCCTGTGACAGACTGGGGGCCTACTGAGGTGCTGTTTTTGTACCTGAGGCGGGTGGTTCAGTCATATGGCTGTGACGCCAGGCTGATTTCATGTGTGCCAATCACAGAGGAACAGTCTTTTTTCCCAGGAAAGGATGTTTTATTCACTGGTAGTATGACTTTGTATTTTTAGTGCTAGTTCTTTTTGCTTCCCAACAGATCACAGCAGGCATACTTTAGAAAATTTCTTGTGACCATAAAGTGCTAAGGGTTGAAAAATCAATGATTGAAAATACAAATGAGATTGTGCCTCAGGAGTCAGTTGCACGCCTGTAGTGCTTCCTCCAGGGTGTTGCTGGCTCTGGTGGCTTCTGGGTTGTGGCCATTGACCTTTCCTAGAATCTTTTTTCTTCAGAGCACAGCCCAAGGCCCCGTGGCTGTGGCCTGTGTGCTTTCCAGGAGAGCCCGCAGCTAGCACACACTGTGTGTCTTTTGGCCATCTGATGCGACGGCTGCCCCTGGCTCCCTAGTGCTGGTGTGTGCAGTGACACTGGTCTACATCGACATCAGCTGGAACGGGTCGGGAAAGGCAGGCTGGTTTTCACAGTGTGACACTCATGCTGCACAACTCGCGGTGCCAACTCGCGGTGCCTCCGCCTGTTGTGCACAGACTATTTAAGTGCCCTCTGCCCAGCTGTCCCGCAGAATGTACCTGTGAGTTAGGAAGGTAAACTCTCAGTTAAGAAGCTCCCTTTGAGTTTATTCTTAGCTAGTGCAAATTAATTGATGCCTGCCTGGGACCACCTCCTTCCCTCCCTCTTCCCTCGAGCAGGCACTGGGAGCTGACTGTATTGAATGACTCTGATGTGCTGACAATGAATGTTGTTGTTTTAAGGTCTTCTTTTTCTTGTGATTCTTTTGTTCCGTAGCGTCGTCCCCCAGACTACAGTAATACTCAACAATGATCGGCAGAACGCCATTGTAGCCAAGATGGAAGACCCCTTGAGCAACAGGGCACCGGATTCCCTGGAAAATATCATTAGCAAGTCAGTAGCCACGCACCACCCCACCTTTCCCTGCCTCTGTGATGAGAATAAGTCAATGTCCCCAGCCAGGGAACGGTTGAAATATGTGGTCCTTCTCTGTTCACGGGTGATCCTGGCAGGCACAACTTGGTTCTGTGCAGTCAGGAGGGCCAGTACAGCGCTCAGTGTGGGAGTGGGGGTAGGCCAAGAGACCACACCCTGATTCACAGCCACACAGTGAGGGGCCAAGGGACGTCTATGTTGGAGCTGATGCGTGATGGAGGGGGATGGCAGTGTGTTTTCACAGTGGTCAGTTGGTCATTCTGTCTGTCCCTATAAGCAGCATGTCAGGCAACCAGACACCTCTCTTGAGTTGGCTGAATGAGATGGGCATGTTGAGTTTCTGGCTTTTTCTTGCACCCTTTTCTTTTGAGACACATTGAGTGGAAGTATGGTGGAGTGGGAGTGGACAGAGAGCACTGGTGCCCACCCAGGGGTGGCTGGAGCCACCACAGGTGCCCTCTGCCCAATGCTCTGAGCTGTGCACATCCCTGTGAGGGTCATTGTTGCTTTTCGTTTCCATCTGTGTCTTCACAACGTTCTGTTTTGCTTTTTCTCAGTCTCTTCTGCAGATTGTTGCTCCTCTAGGTTTGTCCCGGTTCCTCGTTGTCTTGGTCCAGCCCTGTAGGAAGCAGCTGCAGTCTCTGGGTGGGCGGTGGGGTGCCCCAAGGCCAGCCAGGCTGCTGGGCCGAGTCCAGCCGGTCGGTCTGAGTGGAGGAGCCACTTTAGGAAGCGTGATGGGCAGCTCCCCCCTCCGAGGACAGCTAGGACCTTAAACGCCTTTTTTGACTTTGTAACAGGGAACTAGTGCTTCCTTTTCCTCTGGGTGCTGAGCAGGCCACGGTCAGGGATGATGACCATTTAGAAGGCAGGTCATCAGTAGTCCTTAGAGTGCTCTCTGCAGCTGGCCCTGCTGTGTTGGCAGGACTTCATTGCTGCATGCCACCAGCCCTTGTGATGAGAGTAGCTCTCAGGGAACTCCTGGGATTCGAAACTGGCCTTAGAAACCCACACCATGGTTTGTCCGTGGGAATAACTGGGAGTGTGATTGCGGTTTTGGAGGCTGAGTCACCTCTCGGATGTCTGAGCGGAGGGATGGGCTATCTGGAGCTCTGGGCTCCCTTCCTCTTCATTTTGTCTTTCCTCCAACACAGCCCTAAAAATGACTCTTACTCAAGCCAGCATTTCATAGCATAGCCTCTCCACCCAGAAAGCCGCGTTCCAGGCCCAAGTCACAGTGAGTCTCGATCCACCTCTCTTGTGGTGTAAATATTTTCTTTAAACCTTCATTTTATTTCGTACCATTTCTTTCAGCCCCAGACTGTTTCTCCATTAAATTGCTATTAGTCTTCGTAGAAAAGCTGTGTGGGGAGACATTGGTCCATTGGTCCATGCTCAGTCAGATGCTGTGGTCACCGGGAAGAGGACTGTCCAGTGAGTCAGGGCTGACCTCGGCGTGTTGCCCAAGTCACTCTCACCACAGGCTGCTGTGCTTGCTTCCCGCCAGCGCTGTTCCCGGGCGGCGGCAGAACACCATCGTGGTGAAGGTGCCGGGACAGGACGACAGCCACTATGAGGACGGGGAGAGCGGCTCGGAGGCCAGCGACTCTGTGTCCAGCTGCGGCCAGCCGGGGAGCCAGAGCATCGGGAGCAACGTCACCCTCATCACCTTGAACTCGGAAGGTGTGTCCCTAGGGCTGCTTTTCTGCTTGGCCAGCACAGTGATTGTGACAGCCTTGTTTTCATCATTTTAGGAAAGAAGTACACACTTACTGTCTTTAAGAAAAGTGGAATGATGTAGAAATAAAGGTGAAGTGCAATAGCTTGGAACTGGGTGGTGGTGCACGCTCCAGGAGGCCGCGGAGGCCAAGGCAGGGGGATGACATTTCAGAAGTCCGCGAGGCCCTAAACAGCTCGGTGGGAGCCTGCTCAAATAACAGTACACGGCCTGGGATGTGCTGCATGGTCAGGTGCCCCTGGGCTCTGTCCCTGGTGTGGGGTCCTTCTGTGTCCGCGTGTACACCTGATGACTTTGCAGCTCACCTTTCACTGTTTTCTAGAGTAGGCTCTTTCCACGTTGATACAGACGTCACTTCCAGGTCATGCATTTAGCAACTTTCTGATGCTCCCTGCTGGTGGCAGTCCTGTCCTGTCCTCGTTCCTTGGCAGCCGCAGGCTCGCACTCTCTGCACCGCAGCTGGACGTGGACCCCGAGGTGCTGGGCTGAGAGATGCTGTTTGTTCTAGTTATGGCACACGCTGCCGCTCCTGACCGGGGTCTGCACGGACGGGTGGGAAGGCTGGTAGCTGGGTCTGTCTGTGTTCCCTGGACTCCTGCCCAGGGCTTCTGGGAGCCCCAAGGTGGGGATGGTCCTTCTCTCCTGAGGGGTCCGAGGTACCCTCTTGCCTGTCTCTTGGCCTGTGGAAACAGCCCCATGTGCCTTTGAAAGGCTTCATGTCACCTGGAGTCCTCATGTGCTCTTGTGACTAACTTTGTAGCCACCATAAGTGACATTGTTACCACAGCATGAACAACATGCACAAAGCCCTAGATTTGACCCCAGCACTGCAGCAGAACAACACAGAGCGACAACACGGGGAGAACGGCAAGAACCAGACCGACTCCGCTGTGTCTGCAGAGCTCTGAGGCTGGGTTTCATTTACCAGGGAGGTTTTCCTGCTTCCCCATCTCAGTTATTGGTTTTTTCCTATAAACAGGATGTAGGTTTGTCAGCTTAACAAAGAGTTTTCTGTTAGAGAAACTGGTTACCGTGGCTGAAACACTCGATTAAATGTTTTTTCAGAAATTGCTTTTACTTCTACTAAATTGCTAGGAGTTAGATGGCAGAACAGTGAGGAAAAAAGAGGTGACCTTTTAAAAAAAGCTTGTATACCATAAAGTCGACTGTGTTAAAGCATCCATTTCAGTGGTTGTGACACTTGCTCTGGAATGCCCCCCACGGGCACCTGTGGAAGTCTTGGTTGGGGTCTGCAGTGTTATTGGGAGGTGTGGAGCCTTTAAGAGGCGGGGCCTAGTGGGAGGATGTTAGGTCATGGGGTATGCCCATGAAAGGACTGGGCTCTCTTTGCTTCCTGGAGGGCCACCCTGAGGTGAGCCGGCCTCCTCTGCCTGTGCTCCCTCCATGACATGCTGTGCTACCTCAGGACCAAAGCCAAGGGGCCAGGTGACCGTGGACTAAACCCTTTGAAACCCTGAGCCAGAATAAATCTTTCCTCCTCAGTTGTCTTACCTTGGGTACGTGTGACAGGGACAGAGGTGGCTGATTTCATGGTGGCTAGTGTATTCGTAAGGATACAACCATCACCTTTATCTAATTCTAGAACTGTTTTTTGTGGGGTGGGTGCCAGGGATTGAACTCAGGGGCACTCGACCACTGAGCCACCCCTCAGCCCTATTTTGTATTTTATTTAGAGATGGTCTCACTGAATTGCTTAGCGCCTTGCTTTTGCTGAGGCTGGCTTTGAACTCCATCCTCCTGCCTCAGCCTCCTAGTTGCTGGGATTATAGGCATGTGCCACCGGTCCCAGCTAGAATGTTTTTATCTCTGAAAGAAACCCTCCCCCTGTAGCAGTGACTCCCCCTCCACCCTCGCCCCTCCAGCCCACCTCTGTCTCAAGGGGCTTGCCTGCTGTGTACATTTCACTAAATGGACTCCCTGTCCAGGTGGTGGCCTGCAGCAGTAGCTGCATAGTATTGTAGCATTCGTAGCTGAATAGCATTGTCCTTTGTCAGTTGATGGGCATTTGAGTTACTTCCACTTTGTGGCTGCTGTAAATTATGCTTTACGTATTTACATATGGGTGAACCGCCAGGTGAGGGCAACTGGCTCCTTTACACCAAGTGTGAGGAGAAGAGGGTGCAGCCGATTCCCTCCTCGTGGAACCCTGTGAGGCTCACTGCAGGACCGCAGGGGAGATGGGTTGCTCTCCTCCTCCACGTGGATTTTGCGCAGTTGGTCTGGTTAGCCACGTAGGCCTTGGGTTCAGTTAGTGTAAACCACTCCAGCTAAAGAGCAAAACATCCCTGGGAGTCTTGAAAACAAAAATTCCCCCTTACAAATTTTTGTCTGAGTGTGGTTGGTCAGCGTCACCCGTGTCTGCTGGGGAAGCGCTGCCTGGCGCTGTGAGGAAGGTGGGGAGCGCTGGTGTCTGGACAGGTGCTGTTCACCTCCTAGGGAAAGCGCGGGTTTCTTTACGTCTGAGTTCAGGTTCTTTAAATACGAGATGCCACTCCATGTAAGACATATGTCTTTATTTGATTTTTTATTTTTAAGACATGCTTCTTAGCAGAGGCTTTGAGCACAGTGTTAAGACCACGTGGAAAGCTGACTGTTTCTGCCACAGGGATCTTGAGCTGTAGCACAGGGCGTTAGGATCAGACTAAAGACATTTTTCCAGTTTAAGATTTTACTTTGTTTTGAAGAAAGGTCAGAGTTCAGATAGTTCCACCTTCTCAGCCATCACAAGAGGACACGGATGGGTCTGTTGCTGATCTCTGGGGGATGGACACGCCCGCAGCATGTCATGTCTGCAGCATGTCATGTCCGGAAGGACACGTCTGCAGCATGTCCTGTTGGGAACTCGGCTAGCTGAGCCGCCATGTTGGTTCAGTGGTTTGGAGAAGGCTGTTTGGAGACGGAGGGTCCTCTTTAAGTGATTGCTGTGTCTGTAAATCCTGGAAGAGCAGCCAGTCCTGAAGGTCTCTTTCATCAACTCACTGTTGAGGGCAGTGGCGTCCCTGACCTTCGGTAGGACTTGTGCGTGCTGGGACACAGATTAGCTGCCCAGTACGGGTGCTGCCCTGGCTGGAGCAGCTGCTGGGCAGGGAGCATCAGGGCAGCAGGTGCCTGTTGGAGAAGCAGTACACATGCGGGGTGCTCTTGGGTAGTAGGCTTGTCTTTGGAGTGTTTCTGTGGTCCCTGGTAAGAGCCAAGAGCTACAAGTGTACAGATTGTTTTTGTCATCTTGTGTAAATATTTAAGTGTCTGAAGTCTACAGAATCATGAATTTCAAAGCAGTTTTCTTTTTTTAATTTTTAGTTGTAGATGGACACAATACCTTTATTTTATTTATTTTTATGTGGTGCTGAGGATCGAACCCAGTGCCTCACAGATGCTAGGCAAGTGCTCTACCACTGAGCTACAGCCCCAACCCCTCAAAGCAGTGTTTACTTAAGAATTCCAAATGCCATTTTACATCAGGCTTGGAGTCAGTTTATTATACTGCAAAGGTGACAGCTCAAGTTTTATCCTACTTTTTTAACTTTTGTTGATGATGTAAACTTCATTTGAATGAGAAAAAAGGTAACTCTTAATTGTTCAAAGCACTGACCACTAAACTCAGTTCTTGAGTTTATCTTCCACTGGTGGTTTGGGTCCTGGTGCACTCCTGTCATTGAGCACTGGAAGTGTGGGCAGATGGAGTTAGAGAAGCAAATTAGCTAAAATGCACAAAATTAAGGAATTCAGTTAGGTTTCTAATAAAGCATTTTAATTCCTGCAGTGGAGGCATTTAATAATTCCTGGAAAACTTGACTCATCCTGCATATCAAAGTTGGGTGCTGACTGTACTTTGGTGACTTCTTGTCTCCGTCGGGTTCTGAGTGCTCTGGAGCCAGCATGGCGGCCTCTGGCACTGTGATGTGCTGAGCAAGGGCAGCCAGGCAGAGGCTGGGAATCTTCTTTTTCAGAGGCCATCAGTCAGGAGAGCTGGCAGACATGTCCTGCAGGATGTTGTTGGCGCTGTGCACTGCCAAGTCAGATTAATAACAATTTGCTATGTTTACAAAATGTCAGCCATACATATGCAAAGGAGGAAATTTTGCCAAAAACATTCTTTGAACATTTATCTTACATGTATTTTAGCATAAATTGTTATACATGAGCACATTTTCATGGGATCATGAATCGGCCTCTGAGAAGAGTGACATGGTCAGTCTGGTGACCTAAGGGAACAGAGTTACTCCAGACAGACTGGCCTGGGATGTGAGTGGTCTCAAGCCCAGCATGTTGCCTCTGTTTCTGCTGTGCCAGGGGTGGCAGGACATGCAGCCTGGGACACTTGGCCTAGTCATGAGCATGCAGCACGTTTTGCTTAGTAGGTAGGAGTTCACCAATGGCCTCCAAGGAAGGTAGGAGGCAGGTGTGGCAGGATGCACATCATGCTTCAGACTTTGACCTCATTAGCTGTTTGTGTCATTGTGAGCAACCAGGGTATCAGAGGTGTCCAGCCACAGAGAACTGGGCCCATGGCAGGGCCTTGGACCCTCCCTCTGGAGTGACTGCATGACCAAGTCTTTTTAATCAGTGACTAAATAGTGATGTTTGCACATTACTAGTAATATGTTTATGATAGAATCGTTGGTTGGTTTACAATTACCCTCTCAAAAAAAAAAGAAAGAAAAGAAAAGAAAAAAAGTAGCCCATGGTGGAGGGGTAAGTAAAGAAAAGAAGGCATTTTGAGAGAAAATGGTAGAATATATCCATTTCTAAATTGATGTCTCTGTAATTTGTAGTTTGTGGAGTGTCAATGGAATGGATTTCTAAAATTCTCAAATTCTGTGTCAGATAATCATCAAGTCCCAATAGGATGGTTCTTGTGGTGTCTTCCAGGCCTGGGATCTTCACTCAGTTCAGAGCACGTCCTTCCCTTGCAGTCTTTCTGGCCCCCATTCCCATCCCGGATACTTCTTTGATGACCACTGGTTCGCGTGGTCATCAAAGAAGGATGAAGGTCTGTCATGAGCATCTATTGTGACGTGGTAGGGCTCTGGCTGCAGGTGTCCAGCATGGGTGTGCTGTACAAACGTGGCTTCATTGTCAGTGGGTCCTTGGCCCGAGGGTCCTGGCTACCCCAAATCATGGTACTTTTCATGGAGCAGATAATTGTAAGTAGCATAACAGTAACATTTCGTGGATCACGTGGAAATCTTATGAACCTAACTTCCCTATCCTGGGGGAAGAAGCACACTCTTTGCTGTGAAGGTTAGCCATTGCTGGGCTGGTGCATAGTTGCTCAGGCTAGAAGGCAGTGGGTACTGACTTTGGTTTCCTGATTATCATTTGTTGTCAGAGCATTTCTCCCATCTCAGGCAGTATATTGCTTTTAAGATTTGTGAACAGTTTGGGCAGGCCTTTACAAAGGCCAGAGGAAAGTTAGTTTTTGGTGTGGATGAAAACTATAATCCAGTACTGGCTCATGACAATGAATCTGCTCTGAAAACTTGCCTGCAAGTTGCTGAGACCAGCCTGGAAGAGCTCTCCTGCCTGAAGCTGTCGTGCTGCGGAGTGACTTCAGTCCAAGTCTTTGAGCAGCCCTGAGGCCCTCAGCGGGACACAAAGTAGTGCCCTTTTTTGTTTGTTCACTGTGCTTTGCTGGACAGTGTGGTGTGTGACTACTGACCTCCAGTATGACACAGTGCTGACCACAGGGAGACTCACAAGTAGCTTAGGAAAACTGCAGTCATCGGCTGAGGGCCAGAGGGGTCCTGGGGAGGCAGAGTCATAGGACAGAGCCCACCAGTGTGTCTGAGAAGTGAGAACCTGCTCCCTTGCTCTTGGCTCCTCTGAGCTGTGGGTGGAGGGATGGTCAGTACAGCTGGGGTGCTGGGGCAGGATGGTGGGAGCCACATTGTCTTTGGAAGGACTGAGCGGCAGCTGGCCTGGTTGGGTCCCAGTGGTGTTTGCAGGTATAGCCAATGCCTCGGCTTCTGACAGCACAGGGTGCTGCCGCCCCTCCCTGCATGTTCACGGTGGGTCCCTGTGCTCCCAATCTCCAAATATTAAGTGCAGAGATTCTGGTGTCAGTGGTAACACCTCCTGTTTGAAACTTCGGTTAAGTCCCAGCTCTCTTTCCTTCTCCATCCTTGGGGCAGCCAGCCCTGACTCTCCTGGCTTTGCAACTGGACTGCTGAGCTCGGTGCCTTAGAATTAAGACCTGTGACTGAGCCAGGCCTTAGATGGTGAGCACTGCACCCCGTGGCAGGCACAAGGTTGTCTAAGACATAGTTGCAGATCAGTTAGTAAGTACCCTTGAAGTTGGAGTCTTCAGCATTCCCCCGTGATACCTTGACGACCCCTGCCGGGGACTCCCTGTGCCTCTGAGTCACGTGTCCACTTGAATCTAATAGTGGATGGCTGGTTTTCACCACAGTGCCTGTGTCTGAGCCGGTACCCGTGGCACAGCCTCTCCACTTCTGAACCATCAGTGTCTCTGAGAAATGGTGCTTCTTCTTCGTCTCTTACTCAGTTCTGAAAATCAGAGCTGTTTTCCATCCTTAGCTACATCCAGGGAGCCCAGCCTGAGGTGCCCTGAGCAGTGCTTCTAGCCTGGCTTCATCCCCACCCCAGGGACCATGTTTTCCGTGGACAGGGCTCCCTGCCTGTCCCTGAGGTTCCGTGGCAGTCCTCTCGTTCAGGGAGCTGGGTGAGGCTGTCTGAGAAGAGCAGCAGGCCCGAGGCTCGCACTGGAGTTGGGGTCAGAGGTGGCCAGAGTGTGCGAGCCCTGGGCTCTGGGGATGTTGCTACTGCAGACCTGCCCGATGCATGTCTTCCAAGCTGTCACTCTGCACTCCTCCCTGTGAGATCGCGAGTTAAGAAGTGTGACCACATGGTTGAGGAAAACGCTTGTGGGGAGGAAGGAGCTTTGGCCTGGAGAAGAGGCTGGGGAACCTGTGCTCTGAGCAGGGGCCACACTCGCTGCTGGACTGTCCACAGAGGGAGGCCCAGAGGGAGGCCACGGGAAGGGAGGGGTGGCTGTCTGGAATGCTGGGACAGGACTCAGGTGTCCTGCGGAGATGGCGTGTTCCTGGGGGCTCCTGTAGTGCAGATGACAATGGTGCTGGCCTGTCACATCGCCTCTTGTAGAGGCGGGTCACAGTGGAGATGGGTGCACTGAGCTCTCATCTGGGACAAGTGCACTCTGTGGCCATCACACCCACAGTCAAGAGGATGCACAGGAAAAGTGGGTGCCCTTGCCAAGCAGCTGCCTCTGCCCGTTCCTGCCTGGGTGTGTGGCGAGGCTTAAAGCAGAGGAAAGATGTGAGGCCTGCTTCCCGAAGCTCATTGCACTGCTGGGGTGGAAAGAAATTCTGGTGTCTGAGCCCAGAGCTTATTTGATACTCTCTCTGCCCGAGTCGGGATGACCTGGGCCTGTGTGAGTCCTGGACTGCTCCCAAAGGCACTGCAGCGGCTCCAGCTGCTGGCCTACAGTGTGCCACACCTGGTCGTTTGCACAAGCTTTGGGCAGGACCCAGCTGGGTAGCTTTCCAACGAGTTGTCAGCCCTCAGTGCCCTGCCATCACAGAGGTCACAAGGTGGTCTAGCTCCTGAGGAAGCCTGGAGTGCAGGGCAGAGTGTCTTCCCCATGTGGGCTGCCACATTCATCTTTTTGAAATGGAGCAAGCAACCTAGGTCAACTTTGTGGGCATGGTATGACCCTTGCTGTCTTTGTCAGACTGGAGCCCACCCTCTTGCAGCCACAGGGAGGTTGGGGGATTGGCTGTGGGTCAACTTTCCTGAGCCTGTTTGAGCCAAGCCCTGGGGCCATCTGGAATGTGAGCACTTATTTGGAGCATGCCCTGAAGCTGGCTCACGGAGGACCCCGTCTCTTTTTCAGAGGATTACCCCAACGGCACCTGGCTGGGCGATGAGAACAATCCTGAGATGAGGGTGCGCTGCGCCATCATCCCCTCTGACATGCTGCACATCAGCACCAACTGCCGAACGGCCGAGAAGATGGCGCTCACGCTGCTGGACTACCTTTTCCACCGTGAGGTACAGGCCGTGTCCAACCTCTCCGGCCAGGGCAAACATGGGAAGAAGCAGCTGGACCCGCTCACCATCTATGGGATCCGGTGTAAGTGAGCCTGTCCCAGTTCCTGCCTGGCTGGGGGGTGGAGAGAGCCGTGGAGGCATCCGGTGAACTGGATTGGGGGCCCACGTGTGCAGTGCTGGAGAGGACGCTGGGCTCAGTGGTCTGTGTCATGTACTCCTGGGTTGGCCTTCAGAGTGCCCAGCCTGTGTGTCCTGAGCTTAGACACCAGGTGAAGCTCCAGAGGTCTGGGTCCAGGGGAAGCAAGGAGCCTTGAGGCCATGGAGTGTGTGCACAGGCTCTGCCCTGCAGTCCCCAGACTGGCGCTCACTGCGCTTCCGTTCCCTTAGCAGCTCCTGCTGGAGTCAGTCTCTTGTAGGGAAGGGGCACAGGCTGTTGATTAGGACCCATCCCATGACTGCTGGCCCCTTGCTGGCCTCTGTGCCTCAGCTTCCTCAGGTGACGGGGAGAAACTTGGCAGAGCTGCTGTGGGCTCTGTCAGTACATGTGGCCCTCTACGCCTGTGAAGCCACTGGGAAGGGGCAGTGTGTGCTCAGGTCCCTCTGCTGGGTGCAGCCCTCAGGATGAGTGGGAGTCCATCTGGCCCACCTGTGTCAGCGAGGCCTTTGCAAGTTAGGCACCACTGTGTGTTCAGGTGGACCCTGAAACATTTCAAGTGCTCATTTGCCTTTTCTCCCTGTGCTTGCTTTGGTACTTATTGCTGATTGCTCCTCACAACACAACACAAAACAAATACATGGACATAGGCCCACCTCCTGAGGCCTCAGCTCAGCTACTGATGAAGAGCAGACCAGCATTGTCACCCCTGCCTCCCTCTATTGCTCCTTCAGAGTCTGCCGTGACATCCACAGCTTCAAGGCTACAGCCACAACCATCCCAGTTAGGGAAGACTTTTTTCTCCTTCCTGTTTGTGGACAGAAATATTTTCCCCTATTGGGCTCAGTGGTGCATGCTTATGCGCCTCCCAGCGGCTTGGGAGGCTGAGGCAGGAGGATCACAAGTTCAAAGCCAGACTCAGCAATTTAGCGAGGCCTTAAGTAACTCAGACTCTGTCTCTAAATAAAATACAAAATAGGGCTGGCGATGTGGCTCAGTGGTTTGAGTGCTCCTGAGTTCAAACTCTGGTACCCGCTCCCCACCACCCCCCAAAAAGAAAAAAAAAAATACCCCCCCCCCACCAAAATCTGCATTTTGAAACACATGGTAGGTCACATCTCTGAGTACTGTCTTTGTGAAATGAGGGGACATGTTTATTTGAAAGGGGGACTTGCTTTCTGGGATGTTGGCTTTTTGAGGGCTCCCAAGGATCAGTGGGCCTCCCAGAATTCAGGCAGATAACGAAATAGTTTGTGCTCCATCAAAAGTAGCACATTCTCGTAACTTTGGAAAACGTGGAACATTCTTTTAAAGAGTGTGTCTTGTTGTTTGAATTGAGAGCGCAGGAGCGGTTCTTACAGCTTTTCCTATCGGTGATATAAGCCTCTGCTTGAACTCTGCAGAAGAGCAAGTCCTAACCTGCAAGTTGCCAGAAATGAATTGAAACACAATCAGCCTGACACCCCCACCCTTGGGGACATCTGTGAGGAAGGCTGGTATGGATGAGGGACCCCTGAGATCTCCTGGTGCTTGGTGGGAGTTTGCTTGGTTGGCACAAAGTCCCACACTCCCAGGTGACCTGCAGACGGCTACAGTCCCCCCTTTCAGCAGGCAGTCTCCTGGCAGAAGACACAGGCACGCTTACCTTGGGGAGCCATCTGTCTGCCCCACCTGGGGCACCCTGCAGGATGTGTTGGGGTCCTGGGACTGCTGCAAAGAGCACTGCAGACTTGGGGCTGGAGACCCAGGGGTTGGTTCTCTGATGGGTCTGGAGGCCGCGTGTCCAAGGTCCATTCTTGGCAGGCTGTACCTCCTCTGCTGGGGCTTTCTCTCTCCTGGCTTCTGTTGGTGGCTGACGCTTCCTGGTACTCCCGCCTCGTGGCAGCCTGGCCCCAGCCCTGCCGCCTTGCCCCAGGGCCTGTTTCCAGTGTTTTCCGCTGTCTTTTTCTCCTCTCCTTATAAGGACACCAGTTACACTGACTGGTGTGACCTCATTTTCACTTAATGAATCACATCTGCACAGACCCTGGTTCCCAGTGAGGTCACACTCAGAGCTCCTGGGAAGGACGAGAACTCGAGGGGATGCTGCTCGACCTATCGCACAGGATGTGGGTTCTTCTGAACTTGCTGGTTGGGTGCTGTCTCTTCTCCACTGCTATGGTGACAGGGGAGGCTGCCCATGTGTGCCTTGGGGTCAGGACATGGCTGTGCACAGGTGCTCCCATTGGTCCATCCCTGCTCAGCATGGCAGGGCACAATGAGTACCCCAGTTTGACCTAGAGCTGGCATAGGTCAGGTCCCTGTGACTGATGGGAGACCAGCAGAAGACCCCTCATTGGCAGGGACCTGGACGCTGTGCCTTCAGGCACCAGAGAGCAGCACCAGGGCTCAGCGAGCTGAGGAGCCTTATCTTTTTCTTACCCATGTGTGCGATCGTGGTAGTGGGACACCCACTGGCTGGGCTTTGTGAGGGAGGCTCTGGATATTGAGGGCCTGGGCCTGCGCCTGCCTGGAGTGTCACCATGAGGACACATCGCTCAGTTCCCCATTCAGAGCTGTGTGGATTCCTGTTGCTTTTCTGAGCCAGCTGCTATCTAGTTAGGGCTGTGATTTCAAGAAATAAGTTGCTGACACTCCGTTTCCTGCTTTGCATTCTCCTGAACTTGAGATTCTGTTAACAGGGATCATGTTTATCATTCCTTCATGCCTGATAAATTGAGTGTGCCACCCACCGAGGACAGGAGACTGAGCTCTGCTTGTGTGTTACCTCTGCCCTGTCCCCCCACAGCTCCTCTCAGGTCCACTATGAGCCAGGCTGGCCAGGGAGAGCTGGAAATCTGGTTTTGTGATTTGAACACAGGTCCACAGTAGGAGTTCTGGAGGGTGGGGAGGCAGTTACATGGTGGGGAGTGTTTTCTGCCCCAGGGTAGACTGCCTGGCAGCTTGCAAGGGCAGGGTGAGAGCTGGCTGGGGCCGCCCCTGAGCCCAGTGGACAGGTGTGGCTCCGGCCAGTGGCAAGGGTGCACCACCTTGCTTTCCAGGGAGCTGAGTGCGGCTCTGTGGGTAGCAGGTGCCCGAGGGCCGGTGCCAGCAACTTCTGTTCTTTGTTTCTTCTGCCTGCTGTCTCCCCAGTGCACTGAGGCAGCGGTGGGGCAGCCTGAGCAGAGCAGCAGCTTGGTGGCCTGTCCTCCCTGAGCATCTTGCTGGGGCCTGGGCTGTGCTGAGGGCCACAGTGGAGGCCTCCCCGAGGTGGCACTGGAAGGCAGGATTGTAAGGCCATTGCACACTCCTGCCTGGTGTTTGACTTGGACATGAAGGTGAATACTCTTTTTCCTTGAGGTTGTCAAACATGAATCAGACAATAAGGTAGTTGGTTAGTGGTGGGTTCTTTGGTGGCTGTGGTCTGCAGTGGGTCCTTGTCACTGCAGTGGTCACTGTCTGCTTGGTGTCCTGACTTGGTGAGGCTTTGTCCTGCAGTAAAGCCATATGCAGCACACTGTGATCACTCAGTAGGTATTTATTGAGTGATGATTCTGTGATTTCTTTAGAGGTGACCTGAAAGTCAAAGACCCAAAATTTGCTGCTTAATTTACAAATACTCTTTTCTGTAAGATGATGAGTGTTGCTCCCATGCTTTTGGTTGCTCTTCCTGATGCTGGGGTCCTGCCCCATTTTCATCCGGTTTCTTTTTATCTAGTCACAGAGTTTGGTCATATAAAAAGCCAAGAGCTCTTCTCAAAACCACCACCACCACCACAACAACCACAACCACCACCACCACCACAATCACCAACATCACCACCACCACAACCACAACCACCACCACCACCACAATCACCACCACAACAACCACAACCACCACCACAACAACAACTACCACCACCA